TAACCACTCGACTAACTCTGCCTTTATAAATGGATTTTGATATAATCGCGTACTTCTGCGTGTTTGAGTAGATGGAATGATCACTACTTATAATGAAGCGAGTAGTTTGCCTGTATGTCTGTGAGTATGTGTGTTTCTCTGTCTGTCACGAAATTAGTTCATTCGTCCTGATAAAGTCAAAGAGCAGTTATCCATCGTTAACATGTGAACTGCAGAACACAAAGTATACATGAGCCATTTTGTTGGAAAATAGTAAGTTGGTTGTATATTTGGTGTTGCTATGGGGAGGGATAGCAGTGGGATCAAATGGCCTCTGTGCTTTTACCCTTCAAGGTGGCGTCAAAAGGTAAGACCAAACTTTCAACCTTTCGCACAAAAGCGCATGTGATGGTTCAAATTGAACTATGAGAATTTTTTGCTAATGTTGTAAAAATTAAGAAATTTAATCCATCAATACACGAACAGTGTGAACTTCTCCAAAGGAAAGGTGATGCTTCGGGATCATAAACTAGACTAACCTTTCGGCTTCTTCGCTTCATTTGAGATTTACAATTGTACAAAACTCATCACAGTGAGCAAAAAAAAAACATTAAGAGGAGTGAGGATCAAAGAAGAGATCTAGATAAACGTTTCTTATGGTACAACAAAAGAGCAGGTTAGAGAGTAATACTGGCTGACATACAACAGTTTAATGAATGAGCGAGGAGTCCCCGAAAATCGCGCCTGAGGTAAGCCCACACAACTCCACTCCAGAAAAGGCGCAAGTTCTTTTTCCACTCCTTCATTAAACAATTCTTACTCCTCTTTTAAATTCATCAGGGAATTTCTGTGAAATCCAGTGAGCTTTCATCTGCATCTTGATAACGCAGTCTGAGGGGGGTGGAGAGGTGGGCATTCGTATTCTGCATCCCGTTCAAATATTCTTTGGTCCATTGGCATAACGGCATTTCCGTTTTAACAATGTATTCCTCCATATTGACGCACGCCCCGCCCTATTAGCATGCTTAACCCATCTGGAATAGATAACAAACGGAATGGCACCTTATACTAGCCAGCGGATAGCGTATTATCGCAGCGTCCTAGTAGCGTTCATGGCAAAATAGGTTTCAATTCAAGGTTCTCCTTCTCAACAGCATAGCGCGAGAAATTGTCTTGAACCGAATTCTGGTTATGTTAGCTCATGTCCAAGGAAAAACAGAATTACTAACTTTGTTTCCTTCAGTGCCTAAGTATCTTCGAAGTTTGAGTTGGACACTCAAGAGGGCAAAAGGCAAACATAAAGAAACAAGGCGCATAATTTAGAAATCCATTTAAAGTCTGATAGAGGTGCGGCTGCCAATGAAAATATGGTGGAAGATATTTAAGAGATTTTTAATTGCACAACTGTACCTGATCGCCTACTCCAGCTCCTTTCAGTACTGCTTCTGTCGCCAACGCTGAGCTCATTGAGC